GCACTCCCTCCCCTCATTCACTCTGATGATGCCTTATACCTGATCCCTTCAACACCCCGTGTTCACACAGGCTGGTGTCCTTCTTCCATGTGGGCTTTGTTGCTTCTGAGGTAGATGGCCGCTTGTTTACCTTCAAGCTTTTAAGATCCCAGACACTGTATCTTTTGATAGCTGGGCATCATCAGCTTTCTTCACCATATTTGCTTATTCACCCACTTTGTCTTCAGCGGTTGTGTGGGGAAGGTGAGCATCACAGAATGCCAATTTAATAGAAGAGAGTATTCTTCCATTGAAGGAGTACTTGAGGGGAGGCCCAATGTCCTTTTGCTACCTTAATACTAAACCTGTAAATATATGCACATAGATCTATTTTCCTATCCTCATATATAAATATATTTGCATATGTGCATGTCTCTATTTAGACCCCAAAAATGCCCTTTGCCTTCGAACTCTTTCCTCTATTTCCCTTGACTTTCCTCCTGTCCCACTATCATGCTCAGTCCCCACCAGGGTATCAGCAATTCCTCTTTGTTACATTCCCCTTGATCATGCCCTACCAGACCTCCCACACCCACCTCACCACGAATTTGGATCATTTATTGTTCCCTTGTCACGGGGTTTAACACCACTTCCTTTCCCTCCCCCCACCCTCTTCCATGTCCACCCGGAACTGCCGGTCGGTCCCATTGTTTTCTCCTCCAGATTGTTCATCCAGCCTATCTTATTTAGACACACCTGCAAAATATAAAATATCTAAAATATGAGTAAAGAAAACTAAGGCAGCTTATCATATCAACTGGAAAAAGGTGCCAATCTTTTATTAAATATATGAACTAGTTATTAAATATATGAACTAATTCTAGCCCCGGTACCCCCCAAGAATATACACAGCTCCAATTCTACTCCTAGCCTATTTTTACTTTGACGTTTTCAGTAATTTAGAAGAGTATGGTGCTTTACACACAAGTGTGCTGTATTTAATGTTTGATGTGTAGTTTAGTGCAATATCATTTAATACTGGTTCAACATTACAAAGACAGGCAAACAAGTGTACAATACATAATTTTTTCAAATATTCATATTATTGGGGGTTCTTCGAATACATAACAATTTTATCAAGCACATTTGTACACATGTTGCCATCATGATTTCCAAAACATTTTCTTTCTACGCAAGCCCTTGGTATCAGCTCCTCCCCCTGCCCCACCACAGTCCCCCATCCTTATGAAACCTTGATAATTTATAAGTTATTTTAATTTTCATATTTTAACACCATCCGCTGTCTTCCTTCATCCACGTTTCTGTTCTTCCCCCCTGGGTGGTGTATATGTATATGTGTGTTATTCGTCAATCATTGCAATTGGTTCCCCCTTTCTTTCGCCTACCTTCATGGTATGGGTACTCCCATCCTGAGGGATTTATCTGTCCTGCATTATGTGTGTCGAGAGCTCTTGTCTGTACCAGTGTACATGCTCCAGTCTGGCCATATTTGTAGGTAGAACTGGGGTCACGATAGTGGGGGAAAGGAAGCATTAAAAATCTAGAGGAATATTGTATGTTTCATCAGTGCTGTACTGCATCCTGGCTGACTCGTGCCTTCCTTGTTATCATTCTGTGGAGAGATGTACAGTTGTCTGCAGATGGGCTTTGGGTCTCAACTCCAACCCCCTTGTTCGCATTAATATGATTGTTTTGGGTCTTCTGATGCCTGATAGCTGATTCCATTGACACCTCGTGATCACACACGCTGGTGTGCTTCTCCATGTGGGCTTTATTGCTTCCCTGCTAGATGGCCACTTGTTTAACTTCAAGCCTTTAAGACCCTAGACACTGTGTCTTTTATTAGCTGGGCACCATCAGCTCTGTTCACATTTGCTTATGCACTTGTTTTGTCTTCAGCAATCAGATCAGTAAGGTGAGCATCATAGAATGCCAGGTTATTAGAACAAAGTGTTCTTGTGTTGAGGGAGGACTTGAGTTAGAGGCCCAATGTCCATCTGCAACCTTAATACTTAGCATAGAAATATATGTACATAGACCTATATCCCTATTATTATATATGAATTTATACCTCTGTAAATGTCTTTTTCATCCTACTTCTTTCCTCTATTTTCTTTTACTTACCTTCTTCCCCACTATCATGTTCCACTTTCATTTGGCTCTCAGTCTTTCCTCTGCGCTACATTGCACTTGATCAAACCCCCTAGGCATTCAGAGGCCTCCTCACCATCGATTTTAGATCTCTTGTTCCCTTGTCCCTGGGTTTGTTGGCCGCCCTCTGCCTCATCCCCACATCCCTCTCTACCCTGTTGTGCCCCAGAACAGTTGGTCCCATTGTTTTCTCCTCAGGATTGTAAACGATACTGCTGATCTTACAGATATAGACATGGGGGGAAAAGCCTATAAATAGTTCCAGGTCTGTATAGTGACCCTTTTGAATATTTTCCAATCTGGTCTGATGAGTCAAGTCTATTTTCAGGATTACTTAGGTACTTTGTTGCTTTGCTCCCCTTGTTGCTCTCCTGGGCTCCCTTCTTGTTTTGCTCTGGTGTGTGTGGAGGCGGGTCACACCAGGCACAATTTCTTCACTGTTTGTGTAGTGCTGTGGGTCAGTGAGGGGCATCGTCTCATGGTGGGACCACCCCTACTGTCCTCTCTGCATTGGCTTCTCTGAGCAGGAATGTCATCCTCGAGGCTTGGTGGACCAGGATATGGTCCACTCTCTCCTTTTCTCCCCGTCTTACTTTGCTCTGGTGTGGTCTTGGCAGAACTGCCACTACCCTTGGCCTGTGTTTCTTCAGTGCTGTACTGTATAGTTCCATTCTTCTGGCAAGGGTATCATCGTAGCTGGCATTGGTGCTGGCCCTGAACAATACTTAATTTTTAAGTGACACTAGTTCAAGATAAGAGTTGATTTCTCACAGGAAGGACCTAGGGAGCAAAGCAATGGATAGAGGTATAAACATAGTGGTGTATGTATGTAAATACATTAATCCACAAAAATAGAGGTATTGGCCTATGTACATATATTTATATGGCAATACACTGAGGTAGTGGGCAGACTTCAGGCCTCTGTTCACACCCTCCCTCAATACCAAGAACATTTTGTTTTAACAAGACAGCAGTCTGAGCTGTTCACCCTCCCGACACAATCGCTGAAGACAAAGCAGGTGCATAAACAAATGTGAGAAAGGTAAATGGTGCCCAGCTATTAAAATATATAGTGTCTGGCATCTTAAAGGCTTGAAGTTGAACAAGCGGCCATTCAGCAGAAAAACAAGTTCACATGAAGAAGCACACTGCCGGTGCAATCATGAGGAGTCATAGGGACCAGATAATAGTCATCAGAAGACATATAACAAACAAACAAAAACATTGTTGAAGATGAGGGGGGTTGGAGTTGAGATCCAAAGCCCATCTATAGACAATGAAACAGTCCCCCACAGAGGGTCACAGGGAAGGGAAGAGTAAAGCACAGATGAAACACAATATTCCTCTGGTTCCTTGAGGCTTCCTCACCCCAAGCTATCATGACCCCAGTGCTGCCTCTCATTTCAGACTAGACTGGAGCATGTACACAGGTATAAGATAAGGACTGGGGGCTCATGACACACAGAATTCAGGAACAGGAGTGGGAATAGCGATACTAGAAGGGTAGGGGACAGGGGGAAGAGGAAGGAAGAAAGGGGGAACAGATTGCAATGATCAACACATAACCATACACCACTCTCCAGGGGGAAGAACAGAAAATGCGGGAAAGGGAGATTACAGTTGTTGTGAGATATGAAAATAATAATTTATAATCTCCCAAGGGGCTATAGGGGGTGGGGAAGAACTGATACCAAGGGTGCAATAGAAAGTAAATGTCTAGAAAAGAATGAAGGCAACATGTACAAATTCGCCTGATGTAATTGGTGTATGGACTGTAGCAAGAGTTCTAAGAGTCCCCAATAAAACCTGTTCTATTCATTTCTTCTATTGTTTCCTGTGCTACTCCCACTATCACTGGTTTCCCTCTTTCCTTTACTCATTTGATAAGGGTCAGAGTTACT